AGGAGACAAAGTCACTTTCAAAGCCACTTTCAGAAAAGCCACTTTAGTCAAAGTTACTTTAATAATTTGTGGTTATAGTCAAAAAGTCACTTTAATGGTTAGGATTTTAGTGTGCTAAAGTCAAAAATAGTTGTTAAGTGTCGTTTTCATGTCTACCTTATCATTTTTTATTGTTGTACTTTGTCAAAAGTAGTTGTTAAGTATCATGATGTAAGCAATAATGTTTTCTACTTCCTTCTCTATAAAAGGAAGCTTCTTTGTAAGAAAGGATCGAATATTCAGAATTAGATTGAGAAATAAACTAGTGTTTTCTTATCCATGAGTACTTTCTAAATTTCTCTCTTCTTTCTGAAAACCTAATATAATGTTATTACCATAATCTCTTCTCTAAGAAAAGCAAATATGTTCTACACTTGCCCTTTTTAAGAGATCCTGTGTATCAGAAAACTTACTCTTTATGATGATCCATGCATTTACGTTCCTTCTGTCTTTAAGTATCTATGAGTGATAGCTGTTCAAGTCATCTGGAAAAGAGTTATACGACAAGGGTGATACCGTGAGAAGACTCTGAAAGAGGATGGTAGAGATGACTAACCCATGGATACCTAGGGATTAGGAGGCTCTCGGCTCATATGGTATCAAAGTCAGACAATGATAATAGTCAACCTAATATGCTTCACTATTCCCTTTCTCTCTATAAACACATCCCTTCCAATATCTCTTCCAAAATGGAGAATCTTGTAGAATATTTTTGTGTCCCTGAAGATGCCAAAATATTGGAAATAGTACCACTGTTACGCAGTCCCTATAACATCTTTAAATGGCAACGATCTGTGATTAAAAGTATTTCCAAGTTGATCTCCACTAGGAGACCGACTATGAAAAAATATGTCCAATCTTCCAAGATGGACCAATGTGTACTTCAAGCTACTTCCCAAGAGCAATATGTGGATCTGGAGATTCCCACAGAGCTTATCAATCACTAAGTATCCACGGATTAGTCATCTTTACCATCCTCTTTCAGAGTCTTTTCACGACATCACCCTCGCCTTATAACTCTTTTCCAGATGACTTAAACAACTATCACCCGTGGATGCTTAAAGACAATAGGATCGCAAATGCATGGATCATCATTAGAGTAAGATATCTGATACACAGGATCCCTTAAAAAGGGCAAGTGTAAAGCATACTTGCTTCTCTTGGAGAGATATTACAGTAATAGCATTATACTAGGTTTTCGAAAAGAAGGGAGAAACTTAGAAAGTACTCGTGGATAAGAACACACTGGTTTATTTCTCAATCCAATTTTGAATATTCGATCATTTCTTACAAACAACAAGCTTCCTTTAATAGACAAGGAAATTGAAAACACTGACATCATTGCTTACATCATGATAATGACACATAACAACTACTTTTGAAAAAGTACAACAATCCAAAATGATAAAGCAGACATGATGATAACACTTAACAACTACTTTTGACTTTAGCACACTAAAATTCAAACCATTAAATTAACTTTTGATTACAACCACAAATTATTAAAATAGCTTTGACTAAAGTGGATTTTCTGAAAGTGACTTTGAAAATGACTTTGTCTCCTAGTAATCGTTGTACATAATTGATTGGCTGGATGTCAGATTGAGCTCTCTTTTTTTTCTGAGTTGACACTACCATAGAAAGTATGATATCAAGGCTAATCTATCTCTTTCTTGCATGATCTCATTCATGACATTAGCATTTCGATCTTGAGAATCTTCAAGGTAAGGGTCAAAATAAGGATCGAACTCTCCAGGTTTGTCTGGTTCATTAACAGTGTTATGAAAAGGAATATCTGTTGGGCCTTGTGATGAACTTGGGCCAAATAGGAGTGGATGTATAATGGCATATCCATTTATTTCTTTCAAATACTGAGATAATTGACTATTATAGCTTGGATCTATAGGATAGTCTTCAAAGGTATTCCATAAATAAACTATATTCTGAGATCATAAGAGTCCATTTGGTTTTTGCCAGTAAGGACGATGAACAATGTCACTAGTGGTTACCTTGGCAATTTGTTCACGTGTCTTGCCACTGATTTCTCGAGAATGGATGATGTTGTACAATTCATTTCTCCACCAAGACAATGGAGAAAATCATTCCAAGAGTGACCACAAATACTAATTTGCTTTTCCGGAATCAATGAGAATATTGTATATATCCAGCACCTTTAGAGCTATTGGGACTGAATATTGGATTGTAAGGCACCATATACTCCAAAAGTATCTTCACACATATCAAAACTTGGCTGGCAGAATAATTCTAAAATTCCTAAATAAGGAACTTAAAGATTAAAAACTCCAGGTGTGACTTTTTCCCGCTCATGGTTATATGTAGAGCCTCTTTTCTTAAGATATCTTCCTTAGGATCTAGATAATCGAAGGAATATCTTCTGGGTTTTTTGCAACAACGAACAGGGCATCATTGTGACTGTTTGGAAGTTGTGGAAGATCAATAGAATGATCTTGAAACCTGTAAATTATCTTATGAAGAGTAACTGAGTATACCTCAGGAACTTGATCAGCTCCTGTTAACTGTATATGCACCTTAAGTCTTTTGGACAAAATCTTGTCCTTCCGACTTACATTATAATTTGGGAAGATGGTCAGAACCACGCTTCCTGCATGGAGTGTAGGTAAGAACAGTGTCAATAACAACATGTTTCATAGTGGAGGTAACTAGAAGCCAGTAAAGCAACACAAGCAGTAACTGGATGACCTTTTCTTCCATAGAGTGAAGGATTAGTCTAATTGCACCAAAGTGGGATGCAGTATATCCTTCTTGTTCTAGTGATTGATAAGATCTATGGGGATCTCCATATCTACATATTGCTCTTGGGAAGTAGCTTGAAGTAGATATTGATCCATCTTGGAAGATTAGACATATTTTTTCATAGTCGGTCTCCTAGTGGAGATCAACTTGGTAATACTTTTAATACAGATCTTTACCTCTTAAAGATGTTATAAGGACTAAGTAACGGTGGCACTGTTTACAGTATTTTGGCATCTTCAGGGACATAGGAATATTCTATAAGATTCTCTATTTTGTAAGAGATTTTGGAAGGGATGCATTTACAGAGTGAAAAGGAAGACTGAAGCTGCCCTCATATAGGTTGACTATTATCAGTGTTGGTGGAAGAAAACGTGGAAGAAAAGCTGCCCTCATATATGTCCGACAAAATAGGTGGTGTTCTTAACTCCCCCAAACATAACCAATTTTTTTTTCCTAACAAACATGAGAATACTAAAGTAAGGAAAAAAGAAAAAAATACACAGTTGCATGAGAACCTAGCATTGAAGCCCTCAAACTTTCTGTAGCAGAGCCATTTTCTTCCTAAAAAAATACCGAGTAAAACATAAGTTGAAATAAGTCCAAATACGCACCAATTAACATAATGCGAATAACTGAATATCTACATAATCAATCAGTACAAAAAAGAACCAGAGGTTTCATGCCCCATCGTGTAACATCTTGTTTATGTATGTTCGGGTCTCTTCCCCTCCTCCACTCATAATCAAAAGAGTTTTTTATCATAACCTTATATCCGGTCCCTTGTATAAAGAATGTTCAAATAGCAAGTGGTGGAAGAAACCACACAAGTCATTGCTACCTCTGAACACTGGCACAAAAATGGATTTCTCACTCATCGTCGGGAGTCCAAACCATTACACATTGGGCACTCGTGTTTTTTTATAGTTTATTTTTTTCTACCCAACATTATTTCATACAGGTAAGATATTTCAAAATAACTTCAACATAAAAATCTTGATTTTATTTAAAATTTTAAATCTGCAAATGTCCTTCCAGGTGATTATCTTCTAGGTAATTTAAAAAAACTAAAACGATATGTACACTTTTCTGGGTGAATACGATATGTACATTTATGAAGAGGTAAATGATAGAGTAACAGAAAAATGATAAAATTCGATATGTACATTTATCTTCATTTACTAAAAAAAGAAAAAAAATAACAAAATACTTGAATCAACACACTAAAGAACTGCAAACATATTACACCCAAAAAATAAAATAAAATCACATCTTTGAAACCTGACAATCAAATTAAAAAACAAGCGACAGTGAATTGAAAATTGTAACTTTGAAATGACGAGGTAATTATTTTATTGGTAGCTGAGTTCATGCTGATTTTACTTCAATCAAAAAAATTCACAAATATTTTTGTCTTGGTGAGAAAATAATTTTATTTTCATAGTGTCACAATTTCCTTTTGCATTCAATTTGATGGTTTCCATAAAGTTATGAAGTTTCTCTTTAGTTAACCACAAGATGAATGAAACAAAGTAACAAACACAGGACAAGCAACCACAAAAACAAGTTGACATAGACAATATATACAGAGAGATACACGCTGTTCTAGGCCCTTACCTGGAAGGGACCATACTCTAGTGTGCTCTAGGTGATTATCTTGTAGAAACTGCACTGTTTGACATCTGAAGTAGCTCAATAACAGGTGGGAACTAGAGCCAGCTATTCAAAATCTAGAAAGCCTAAAAGTTGAGTTTTGTTCTAACTTGATAAATTAACACCATCCTCTGCCTCATTTTATAATATAGTAGATTGGGATATGTACTGTTATCATAAAACCACAATTGTCCTGTATATTAACACATTCAATTGCCATAACTTTGGGGCATTTCACATGACTGAAGATAAAAGACTGCAAAATATTTGAGCTTTGGATAATTAACAAACGGGGAGAATATGTTAAATATGAAATTGCACTCAAGAAACTGGAAAATTTGGAACTCACTGGTCTAACAGGCACACATTTAGCTTCTAAGCTAAGTGAAGCGGAGTCTTGCAAATAAGGCACCAAAAATATAAGAATTGCATTTTATAAATTGATAGTGACTCAAATTCCACTCCAAACTGATTCATAATCCATAAAGCGATTAAGTAAGCAGAGATCACATCAGTAACATGAACAACATAAATGATAAAAAGAATTCAATTAAAAAAGCATGTTAACTACTACTAATCAACTAAGATAAGAAACTCATAAAGAAGAAAAATAAGACCATATGGGATGAGACAAAAAAAACGAGTATTCTTGTAAAGCAAAGATAAACATGCCAAAGGTAAATGAAACTGCAAAGTTCAATATTGATTTGGCTTAAAGTAACTAAGTGTCTAACAAAACTTATTTGATTAGCTCATAGCTGAGTAGAAACACAACTCATCTGTTTCCTTAACAGTACTTATCTTGATCCCCCATAGGTACGCCTACTCCTCCTGGTGCGGGCATTTGTATGAGTTCGCTGTCCTCGACAGGGTAAACCATCGGCATGCCTGATCCCTCTGTAGCACTGAACGGTAACCAACCTTCCCACATCTTTCTCAACCATTTTTTTCTGAAAACAACCAAAACAATCACATACATTAAACATGATGGAACAAAGCACATGTATTTAGTAAGAGAAAAGGTGCATATCTAACAAGTAAAGAAGAAAAGTACCAAATCATTTCCAATCAAGTACTTGGAAAGTAATTCGCGAATAGAATATAGTTCTCTTTTGCTAAGGTCCTTGACATACTTGTTCTCAACTCCAAGCTCACACACAATGTGGTGAGCTTTGGAACGACCAATTCCATGAATATGCTGAAGAGCATACTCAAGGCGCTTGTTATCTGGTATCTCCCCTCCAACACCACCTCCAATGTTTATATTCTGTACACGCACTCCCCGATGCTGCACAATACCAACGTTGGAGCAAAATCGTGAAACAGATTCCAATTTTTTATTGCAGAGATACGCCCTAAACAAAGTTAAATTGAAGCTACAAAGTCCTACCCTAAGAAAAAAAATCATTATAAAAGCAGGTTTTGATTTCGTTGTTGAGGCAGTGCTATTGGATTATTAACCGCTCGAAATAAAATCTCTAAAATCACGAACACTGGAAGATGGAGGAAACTCACCGATAGGTTTTGACGAAGGTGGAGAGCGATATCAGAAACGATTCCACGGAGACCAAACATCTTGATATTTGGGGATTTGCTTGCGAGCGAGTAATGTTTAGGGTTTCAGTTTCTTCTTTCTTCATGCCTTTGTTTAAAACTGGGACCTCCAAAAGTTGAAAATTAATTAAAAAGTTTTTTTAAATAAAATAAGAGTTAATTCAGTTTTGAAAATAATATTCTTGTTTAAAACTAAAATTTATAAAATAAAATTTAATATCAGTTTATAATTATTTTAATTTTATGATTTTATACTTGGATTGGATTATATCATCATCGTACTTAGATCAAAGAAGAAATTATAGACATGGTACTGAATTAATCGTGGCGTTATTAACGAGAAAAAAAAATAATAAAACGAAGTAAGTTTAACAGGTCAAAATTTTATTTTCTGCTAAAATTAAAATGAGTGAAATAATAAATTTATCAGGACATTTATCTTTACAATACAACACACATTTATCCAAAAGTTAACATCTCGGTTATGTTTTTTTTTTTTTTCAACATGTTCATCTTTCTGATTACATTCAGTTTGAGTATTAAAGGGGGAGCTTTCTGATTGGAGAATATTTTTGATATTACGAATATACCGAAAATTTGGTGCATCTTTCATTTATATTGTAATTTTATTTTTATTAAATCAATAATAAATAATTTATTTTAAAATCAAGAAAAAGAATGATTTGATAAAAAGTAGGATACGTGTTACGTTGTGAATCAATAATAGCAATTTACCATGGCCATTCTCCTCAGTCCCCAAACTAGTTCAGAAAGTCATGATCTAGTTGGTTCTAAAAAGCCTTTAAGTACTGAAGCACCACAGAGCACTCTTTTGTTATTTGTCCAACAAATAGAGAGTTTTTGCAGAAGGGTCATTCGCCCTCATGAGAAGGGGTAAACAAAATCTATCAAGATTTATGAAGTACACCATAAGCAGTTAAAATCTGGAAAATATACATCAACCAAAAATTCTCGAAACTTCGGTTACTTGTATAAAAAAAGTTAGTAAAGAATTAGTAGATGAACCCAAAATGAGTTGAGTAGCTCTTCCTGTAGAAATATATAAACTCCAAACCCACATCAGACTTAGTGATATATTTGCAGCTAATGTGAAAGACTAAATGACCAATCATATTATATAATGTCACTTATACAATCAACTGGCCATATTGTTCCCAACTTTATCTTTCTTCCCTTCAAGAATCTCACTTTGCTTTTCAAGCCAACTAGAACCAGGCCACTTATGGACATTTCTCTCCTTCATCTCCTTCCTTACATTCCCAACCTCTTCCCAGTCACCATCAGCAGCATAAATATTTGATAGAGTAACAAAGCCACCTGGTCCTTTGAACTGCATTCTCATTATTTCCTCTGCCATCATTTTAGCCAAATCTCTTCTCCCATGGACTCTGCACGCATGTAGAAAAGCTCCGGCAATAGACTCTGTGACTTGTATTGGCATGGCCTTGAGAAATTCATATGCTTCTACTGTCTTTCCTGAACGACATAAGAGATCAACAACACAAGCATAGTGCTGCATGCTTATCTCAATCCCATAACATTCTTTCATTGATATGAATATCTCTAAACCTTTTTGCACTGAACCACTATGGCTGCATGCTGAAAGAATACATGTAAAAGTAACTTCATTTGGCTGCAGTCCTTCTTCGTACATTTTTTTAAACAGCTCCATGGAGGAATCAACCATGCCGCACTTCCCATAGCAATCAATCATTGCATTCCATGATGCAACATTCTTACATGGAATCTTGTCAAATACATTTCGAGCATCTTTTGAGCTCCCACACTTTGAATACATGTCAATTAGAGCACTTGCAATGAAAACATTGACATCAAACCCCTTCCGACATATAAATCCATGAATTTCTCTTCCCCCTTTAATAGAACCTGTTGATCCACATGCAGGAAGCAGCGCTGCAATAGTTACTTGATTGGGTTCAATCCTTGAAAGTAGCATCTGCTGAAACAACTTAAATGCTTCCCTGACTAGATCATTTTGTACGAAGCCAGAAATTAATGCATTCCATGCAACCAGATCAAGAACAAAACCTTCTTTTTTCATTCTCTCTATGAAAGCAAAAGCTTTGTTACTATCTCTTGAACGAGCATATGCAGAGATTATAGCATTCCATGTGAAATAATTTGGCTCTAATCCTTCCAACTTCATCCTCTCAAAAAACACCAGCGCTTGCTCAATTTTCCCTATGTTACAAAACCCAGAAATCATTGATGTCCATGAGGCAACATCTCTATCAGGCATTCTATCAAACACACGACGAGCATGAGAAAGGCCTCCACATTTTCCATACATATCTATCAGAGCATTGGCAACGGAGACTTCATTATGAAAACCCATTTCAAATATCATTGCATGAACCTGTCTCCCCTTGTTTACATCCATTAAACCAACACAGGCTTTAAGAACAGTGGAAAAGGTGAACTTATTACCCATGTGCCCAATCTCACGCATCCAACGAAAGTACAACAATGCATCATCATAGTACCCATTATATGCCAAACCCAAAACCATCCAATTGAATGCAAAAACATTAGGTTGTTCAATATTTTGAAACAAAAGCCTTGCTGATTTCAGGTCCGCACAACTAGCATACATCCCAACTAGCTTTGAACTTAAAGACAAGATGTTCATGTTCATTCCACTCGTTAGCAACATGGCATGGACCTGCATGCCGGGTCTCAAGGCTTTTGTTTTCAAGCATTTTTGCAGGCTCAAAGCAAAATCATATGGGGACCATCTCAATTGTGAAGAAAATGACCAATTTTTCATTTTCCGATGATGTTATATTCATGTATCTAGCCAACTCCATTTAACAATCGTAACATGTCAGAAAGAAAATTGCATTTTTAATGTGTGCAAATTATCAAAAAATAAAAAACTGCGTTTGCCGGGAGTCGAACCCGGGTCTATTGCTTGGAAGGCAATTATCCTAACCGTTGGACTACAAACGCTTGATGCGATTTGTGCCTAGATAATTTAAATTCTTGTCTCTATGTCCCACACAAACAGAGTAAGTATAGTTAAACGGGTTTAGATTTCTTATGTTACTGCACTCAAAACAGATTTGCAGCAGACACAATAAACATGTGGGAACCATCAATTTTATTTTTTCTGTCCTCATCTCACTTTCTCTCTCTTGTTTATTGTCTCGTGCAAAAGTAATGTTTGAATGCAGAGTTTAATTAAGAGTTTTGATTTTCTTATTTTTTTCATATTGTGGTTCAATTAGTGATGAATCCATATTTATTAAAAAAAAAAAAAGTTTTACATGCAAATTGAATAGTCACAACATGATAAATGTTTTTCTGTTAAACAAATGGCATAATATTGTTGTCATACATGATCATTTAAATTAGAATAAGTTTATTATACAGTCAACTCAATAACTTTATATATATATATATATAAGATACAATGAATCTGCTGCTATAATTTTATAAATAAATAAAAAAACCTTGTTTTCTGTATAAGTTGTTGCAAGATAATTAAATTGGTGTCAACACTCAACAATTACTGAGAAATTTCAACACATGTGTGACTTCATTGCAATTAAATACCGTATCGAGATTACCAAAAAAATAAAAAGGCCGTATCGAGAAATAGATTGTGAACACATCCCCCCGTATTTCAAAGCGACACCTAAAATGAAGAAGAAGAAGATAAAAAACTCTCTAAATAGTTATAGAAATCATGAAATGTACACCAAGTAAAGAATGATTATATATTTGTAATTTCTAGTCATATTATGGTAGCAAGTGTCTCTATTGTTGGAACTTTACGATGCCAAACTAGACAAGGCAGAGTGCTTCGGCCAAAAGGAGGAGGTAATTAGGTAAATGTCGTAACGCAAACACCTGAGGTGTTGACATGGGTGAATGATTCAAGGCCTTTGTGTATGCATTCTTCCCAGCAGCTTCTTCTCTTTATTAGTTCTTTTTTATATACATATTTTAATATGGCCTCCGCTGTAATCCAATTCAAGAACACGGTGCGTGAATCTCTTTCCTTTCTTTCCATCTTCCAAACGTCATGTTAGCATTTTAGAAGTCAACAGTATCTAACTTGCTCCCTATTCTTTTCTCTGAAAATATGTCGAAAAATGTTTGTATGCGTGAGGGTCTTGGTCCAATATTTAAATTATCCAACGAATGGTGTAACTGTAACCTATCTTCTTTCATAATTCTATTATTTGAATAATTTTCTCTTATAATAAATCGTAGCAAAATAAAGCAAACTTTAAATATTTGTAATGATCGATCATTAGGTCAACTCATGCACTTCCCTCTTAACTCATACTTGTAATCTATTACAAATAAGTCAGCGTAACATAAAAAAAATTTGATAAATAGTAGTCGAACGTGTGATATATGAAAAGATACATTGTTATAAAATTAAAATTCTTGTGATGCCAGTTATTTCAGATTTAGAAGAAGAAGAAGAAGAAATACCTTTGTAAATTTTCTAATTTCATGGTGACTTACTTTTGACTAAACTGAAAAAATAAATCAGTCAAAATACATACAAACTAAACAGTAAACACCACCTAAAACGTGAAATTAAAAAAAAAAACATTAAACTAGGAGATATTTTGAGGATTTTCTTTCTACATGAAAAAATTAAAGTACACTTCTATTTTGTTTGATTCTAAAAAATTGAAAAGTTAAATTACAATCCCTAGCAGTGAAGTGCCTTTTCATGACCATTTCTTATCATTAATTAACTTTTAATTCTCATGAGCTGGAAGCTAGAATTACGTCAAAATATGCCCAAAAATATGCTTGTGATAATGCATAATTGATCTGATATGTTAAGCAAACGCTATCTGCATGCGATTTATATGATAATTGCTTAAGAATGTTGGGGTACTTGACTATGAAATTTAAACGTATAACTTTGTAAAAATTATTTTAGTTGATCACCACTGATAAAACCCTAATGGCTCTGAGCTTGTCCTGTTCTTGTAATACAATATATGGGTCATATTTAAATATTGAGTTATAAAGGTCCGATAGATAGATGAAGCTATCAAATACTCTGTATCCAAACAAAAAAAGAGCTATCAAATACTCTTACATTGAATTATAAAGGATAGTGATATATATGGGTCATAGTCAATTATTCAAGAGTACTATTTAAATGTTGGTTTTTGTTGCCCTTGATATGAGCATGATTCATGAGGTCTTATTGTAAGAGGCGTTGCTGACTTTTCTTTGCTCGTGTAAAACTGATTCCCATTTTAAATTCAAATAAAATGATTTGTCTGATTTTTTTTTTTAAAAAAGAAAAAATAGTTTGTCTTTAAATTAAATAAATAAATGAGAGGGTATTATTTTTAAATTATTTAATTAGTAGGTTAAATTAATTTAAAATATAAATTTTAATTTAAAAAATTAAACATGACCTGTTCAATAAAAATCAGTTTTTATTACTAATGGAAAATTATTTTATATTGAATAAGATAATTTTATAAACTAATTTATTTAATAGATACAGTAAAATGTATTTTATGACTAACATTATCTTTTTTTTATTTACATGTTATTTTTAAATTATTTTATTTGTACTATTTTTATTATTTAATGAATAAAATATCTTAACATATTTTAGCATACAATTTAATAATCAAAAGTTAATGAATAAAATTAATAATAAAGTCTGGTTTTTTATCTTCATCAAAACTAAATTCATATTTTTTATTTTTTCATTAAAGTTAATATTTTCCATTCTATTTTTTATTAAATTTAATAATCTTAAATTACTAAAATATTCTCAAAAGACTAATTTATTTGACAAAAAAAAATTTCAATTTTTTCTCTCATTCCCATGTAAATATATAACACTAACAACCCCATTCCCATGTTTATATATAACTGCACTTCTTTTTATGACAAGACGAAATTAATTTCCACTAAATTTAGCTCAAAGTAACATTTATGCAGAATTACTCGTGTTTACGTTCCTTTTCCCCATAATGAAGCTGTTGCTGATTAAAAAATTGTTTAATCTAACAGAAGGACAGTTAAGTCAACTCCTTAATTTCTGTTTCCTAGTCCCGGCATAAACCTTCAATAATGAAACGATTCTGTTTCCTAGTCTCAGGGTTGTTAGAAATCGTAGTCATCCACGTCTGTAGTGACTAGTGAGTCTCATTACTTATTATATTAAATTATTTTTTTCTGTACCGTTTCATATTAATTCTTTACAGTCAAAGTATATATCATGTATAATTATTATTATTATTTATTGGTTAATTCATTTTAAAATATAAGAGGCTTAAAATTATCTCCAACAACTCTAAAACCTCTAAAACGGTATTATTTTGATATTTAAGAAAAACATATAGATTATTTAAAAAATATTCTGTATTTTTTTTTTTAAATCTCAAAATGTTTGGAATTGTAAAAAATAACTCGTGTGTGTGGTAGAAAAAATGTTAATCCCTTCAAAATGTATATTCATTCACGTAAATCATGACCGCATATAACTAGAGGTATAGTGTCATGATCATGTCACACATAATTGAAAGGGTCGATAAAAAAAACCAGACAACCCGGATTAGTTAGAAATTTGCAAGAAACTCAGCTATAAATTTTGAGTTTTATAATTCTCATGTTGAATGAGAATCCAAATCTTATATTGTAGATATAAAAAGCATGTGGGACCCATGTGTTAGAAAAAATTATATGTAGGACTCATGTCAGCACAAAAATCGAAGAGTGTGTAGAAAAATTTGAATTCTCATGTTGAATGAGAATTATAAAATCCATAAATTATTTCGTCATATACATGTCAATGTCTTTACCAAAAGTCAAATTACTATATAATAATTTGTCACATCCCTTTATACTTTTATTTTCCTTAATGTGCTTTAATTACCTTCAATGTCACCCCTTATCAGCTTAACCTTAATGAAACACTCTCTTCAATTATTCTTTAAGGTAGCAAGACCATTCAGGAACAAAAGCCCACAACATAGTTAAATAACAAACAAGATAATACCGGCATTCAAATGAATAATATAATTGGAAGGTGTTGCAGGTGAAAACACACTTAAATTTGCGTCTGCAGTGATTGCTTCCAAAGTCTAACCATCCTCTTTAATTAGTTAAATATGTAGAAGTGCATGGGTGAAGCTAGGTTGAAATGGTTATGGGAAAAGCAAAAAATACTACAGTGAGAGGGACTAAATTATTTTTTAATTGCACAGGAAATCAATAAATTTAAAAAAGTATTAAGGGGACCAAAGTCACGTGAAAATAGAAGCTAAGCTAAGGCCAATAAAGAATTAATGGAAAGGAAAAAAAAAAAAGTCTAAAAAAATGTTTTGAAAATATTTTAATTTGGTGTGTATAAGATATTTATCATATGATAAATTGATTTACTTAATATTTTATGAACAATTAACCCATATTTCTAACTTCTTTATTCAAATTTTCAATTAAGAATAAATAAATTATGAATCAAGTCAATTGTTAAATAATTAACCATATCACATTCACAGATTCACGCATGCCGACTATTTTGATTATTCTCTCAACAGAAAAGCACAAGCAAGAGGTAAATGGGTATGCAAAGCAGAATCATCCAATTTAGGACGATGCATTAATTAGAGTGGATCCTTGACGGTGTCAGGAAAATGAAAGTTAAAGGAAATTACCAAAAAGGGGTGGCCGGCGGCTTAGCTCAGCACCACCTAACTGAGCCCCCTACGCGGCAAATGGTGGCTTTTTTGGAAATATGAAATTAAACCACACATTACTCGGACTCTGACTAACACGACTTTTGTTGAATACCAACCTACCTTTCCCACTATTCTATTTCCTTTCCAAGTAATTCTCTTTTTTCATACCCCACAAATCTTCCTATTGACTTGGCCACTGCATACCTTAGAAAACTTGATCTCCAAGCTCTCTCTCTCTGCCCATTTTATGTTATTATAAATAACATGTCTTTGCCCTCACAAACTCACTAACTCTCATAAGTCATAACCTTATTCCAACACACAAACACCAAACAACACAGCCACATACTTCATTTCCTGTCCTGTCACTCCTTAATTGTTGCAGCTCCCATGGCTCGCTTTGGCACTTTTCTGGTTCTATTCTTGGTTCTCTTTGCATCTATGTGTTCATGTCTAGAAGGAAGAAAGCTTCATCTTGGTGCAGGCAAGCACAGCAACAAGGTTGACCCATCTTCAAGGGACAGTTTGTTTCTCAGTTCTCTTCCCAAGGGTACCGTGCCACCTTCTACACCCAGCAAGAAAGGCCATTCTATCGAGGTTGATGAGAAGCTCATTGCGCGTCATCTCATAAGCACTGAACGAGTTCTTCTGCGATCTGTTCCCAGCCCTGGTGCTGGTCATTGATTATCTTCTTCATTGTTAATTTGTTCCTTCATCAGATGACAACCCATTTTTTTATTTGTTCAGTTTTGTGATATTCTTATAAGATTCTTTGTATGGTTGAAGAGATTAGCAGCAATTTAGGGATAAAGTTTTAACTGTATAAATATAGTAATACTAGTATATATATAGATATGCCTCTGTTTTTCGGATTATCTGCTATCCCTTTTAGATTTATCGTTATTGATGGAAAAATATATACAGAGTGACAGTTTTGTCTTCTACATGATCAACTTCTGTTTTGGTATGTATAAAAGTTTTACATTAACATGCTCTTAATTAGAATAATACCTTTTGTGCCTTTGGGAATACGTAGAGTTTGCCCATTTGAAGAAATTGAAGGGTTGGAAACTTGGGAAGCCATGAGATAATCTGATTACAAATTAGACAATAGAATGTGGAGTAAACTTGTATAAGTGCCCCTTGGAAATTCTTTCCATGGTACAACTTTATGACTAAAAAGTAGGTGAGATCTTCAATTTTAAAGAACGAGGAAAATTTGGCGTTGGATATGGTTCTAGTATACTAAATAAAAAGTAGTGGTCTGCCACTTGGATTGCATTTTCGCGAAACAAATGCGCAAGAAAGACGGAAAACGCGTCCTAAGATATATAACTTAAACCTAACCAGTAACCAACTGTTTGTTTGTTACTTTTCATGAAGATGGGTTGTTCAAAAAGGGATCACCGTCTCATGTCGTTGGCTTCTGAATTGCAGCTTGTGACTTGCACCTTAATTTTTTTATTAGCATTATTAGAATAAAAAATATATAAGAAATGGGTTGTGAACTTCACGTCACAATGGTAAACGTGAGCTGCTATTCATTGACTTATTGAGTTTTTCGTTTTTATTTTCTCCAAACGAAATTGTCCTTTTCTATTGAGGTTACGTGCTTGAATAAAAAAAATTGAGCTCACTGCAAAGTCTTCAACGACGTATATTTTCTCCAAGCACACATTATGCATGCTCGGGAATCAAGAAGTTTCATGTTTTTTTCTCAATCTTCAATCCCTTTCAAGTCTAGGGTTTTCAAAGATCTAAATAAGATTTGTACAGTCTGAGTTTAATTGAGTCACGTCTTTGTTTAATCTTATATTCCACTAGATAAACAATCCAGCTTTTTGACGGGCATGACAACGAATATTGGGTTCTTTTTTATTTCATTTGCTTTTCCTATTTTCTTTTCTAACAACCAAATTAAACTCACAACAATTAGCACGGCATAAAATCTCCTACGAGGCTAGGAAGTTATGTCCAATTCTATTTACTCAATTCTCACTGTTTTAAAGACTAGGCACAATCTTATTGAAACAGAGAACACCAAAACAGAGGCCTAGAACTTGGCTTGCACGTATGCCTAGCATAGGAAAAAAAAAAGAACAGTTACCCAAATTCGGCAACTTTCGATATGAAGTTCAAACTTGAGTTTAAATTATTGCGGCTACATGATAATGTCCAATTATTTGATTATAAAAATATGCAATTTCGATGTTAATTACAAGCCCACACTAGTTATGGATTATGGAAAACACTGCTTCTTGATTAGGACAAACTTCGGGGGTTGGCAGAATTTTTTCTTTAGCAATTAAACAAAGAATATTATGTTCTACATGTTTTACGGTCTATATTTTCATCAATCCTCTGCAAAGGTCTTTAGCAGATCTAAAGTCTTCAAATTTTGAATTTTACATGTTTTTTCATATTAAGATTATGGTCTTTCAGTTTGTTCTTGCATAGAAAATTTTATTGGATAAAATTTAATTAACAGATCGACAGACATTCCTTCAATAATAAATAGCTTATGTATATATAATTGTGCTCAATCTTAAAAATTTTATAGTTTAGTCATTAAGTTTACTATTCATATCTTTCAATTAATAATATATAACAGTTGTACATTTATCAAATAGTAATGATATACATTGCTCTTTTGGCGGTGAAAATAAATTATATTAGAGAAATAAATACTAATATCAATAATTTGAATATTGTATTGATCTTATTTAAATAAATGAAATTATCATTGTTTATATAACTACGAAGAATTTTTTAATGGTGTAAAATAAAATAAAATAAAACTATACGTTTTCAATGTTCGGGGCATGGCATCCCTAGGAAAAGTGACTTGATGATCAAATTATGTATGGGTTTTATTAATCTTCTTTTACATAAGATAATTATCTTATGTTGTAGAGAGAAAATGGGTGGGTCCTACCATTGTAAGAAAAAAGAAGGAAAAAAAAAAAAGGTGAGGTGCGAAAATCAAAGTGAGAGAAAATGAGATAAGATGTCTCATGTGAAATGAGAGTAATATTTCTCATTATGTATATAGGAAAATTGATGATGTGAACGGAAAGAAATGTGATTGCCCACGAGTTGCTATTGTGAATTTGCCCCTTTTAAACCAACAACAGGGGCTCCACGAAACCGTCATGCATTTGCAAAATGCTGAACACAAAAATCAATTTGTCTACCTTGTGTTTGTGGTTGTCTCTAAATGATAGAGATCCACAACATGTAATTAACTGAACTAGACTAACAAATGAATATGGGGGAAGAAAATGTATATATTGCACCGAACAACATAAAATGAAATGAGAAATAAATAAAATAATTAAAATTTTAGACCAATGACTTACAAATTTTACATATTTTTCACATGCAAAAAAAAAATTTCTACCCGCTATTTTTTTCTTCTTCTAATGACTCAAGCTTGAGTAGCGCATTCAAGCCACGTAGGCATAGCTAAGATAGTTTGGTATGATGTGCATGTTTCCATTAGCTTGTTTTGTACTAAAAGAACTTTCTCTTTATACAAGGCAGAGAGAAACACAGTTTGTTAGCAAGCTTTCTTATGATGAGAACATATTTATGAGCTTTGGAAATGGTTAGAATCCATAAGAGAAGTAAAGTGAATTTATAGGAGATATACCTACAAATGATGGAATACTTGTCCATCCAATATGTGAACTTGTTTTATGGGAATCTCTGAGAACGCTGAATATTGATGTTGGATTGGACCTCAATCATGTATAAGTTTACTGAATGTTTTTGTTAGAAAAGTGATTTTAAAATCATTGAGATGAGATAATTTATGTTAGAAAAATCGCTTTAATAATACACACAGTTCTATGAAATACACGTAAGAAATTGAAACATAAAATAACACAAATAAAATTTATAGTACGAACATATATGAATGCAACAAGGAAGAATTAAGGTCCAGTTTAAACTGTGTCTTAAGGTAATTTTCTCATCTTTATGATGCTCAAGATTCATGGACAATTGCTTCCTAGGATACAATAGATTATCTCTATTCCTGTGGCGGTACTTTTACATAAAATAGTCTCGTCAAACTCAATCTTTGTCTGATTAATCGCATTAAAATAAAAGAATGCAAATACAAAGAATGTATAAAAAACCAATAGGGAAAAAAAAAAAACTTATCTTAAAATTTTAATTTTCTATTTATTTATAAATAACGTAAACTCACAATTTAAATAATACTCCTTCAAAGAAGAAACAATACATGCCCAACATGTTTTCGTTAAACCAGGAAGCGTTCGCGGGGGTAAGCATCATGTTTTACATGAGATGGGCCATGGCGGCGTACCATTGTATTGTGTCCAAATGTGTTGTGCAATGCAGTCACTCATAATGTTTGATTTTTTCGTGGGTGGGTTTGGCTATTGATATGTTGGAAGGAATATAAAGTCAGAAAAAAGAACACTATTGCAATGAAATAAAATTAAAGGGATACCCTCAAAAATTAAAAAAGAATGAAATAAAATTAAAGGGATACACTCAAAAGTAAAAAAAAAAAAAAAAAAAACCTGAAGGGGTTAAAGAGCTCTAGTTTTTCAAAGATAATTTTTTTTAATGAAAAAATTCATTTTGAATAGTGTTGCTGGGTTAATTGAAGGAGGCTGAAAGATGTGATTTTATGACTACATTAAAATTCATGATATAATAGCAAAATAAAATTTTCAAAATATCTTTCATTTTTATTTCCTAAATCATAAAATGATATTATTTTGGGATTATAAGAAATATTTTTATCTTCCAGTACAGCACAAGCACTTTTCCCTTAACGAACATCTATTATCAGCCTAAAATAAGAATCGTCCCTTGCTAGCTTTTTTTTTTTGGAAATATTTCATCGGCTCATCGCTTCGCGATTAGTCCGATTCGGGGCGGGTCCAGGATTAAAGTTTTAAACCCTTCCCAAAGGTGGTACTGGGGAGGTTCGAACACATGCCCTCACCTCCACCTACTCAGCTTCCATGCACCAAATGAGCTACAACCATTTGGTTCCCTTGCTAGCTATTTTGTAGTTTGTTTGCAGTAAAAATTTTAAGATAACATCCATGGAACAAATACAGTTTGGAGTGACCAACACCAACACGTCTCTTGCGGTTCAAATGACATGCGTGAGTGATCAAAAATAAAAAATAGAAAACTTTAGTATCTTAGTGTGAAAGATACTTTGGAAAATACTTCAGCAGCATCTTTCACAAAATTCTCCAAGAACTACTTAAACCAGCACCAGTAGGTAGTCTCTCAATTTAGACTCCTCTGTAAAAGCACTAAAAAAGACTCATGATTACCTTTGTGCCCAATCATAAGTGAGTAAAGCATAAATAATTGTTTGTTTTATCAAATTTTACACTTTCTAATATTATATAGGGTTCATTTTTAAAAAAATTACTTTAGACAATTTTGTCTAATGTCATTTTGAAACAAAAAATATGGTATATTTATAATTTTAATTTATTTCAAGTTATAATAGTCTTTATCATTCTAATTTCTTAATCCCAAAACGATATCATTTTGCTAAACATTAGACAAAATTACCTAAAATATAACATTAAATACATTTTTCTCTATTATATAAGATAAAATTATTTCTTACGTGCATAAAAGTATACAAGACTCATTTCAAAAGTAGAGAGCTGGAAAACATA